GGGAGCTGCAGGACATCACCTCACGCTCTAAGGAATGTCTCAATTCCTACACATAAGGATGTTACACGCCAGCTCAAACAGTACACTGTACACACACACACAAACACACACATGAATACAGGTGATGCAGCCAACCACTGCAGATCAAGACACAAACTAAGCTACATTAACTGCCCCGACACTGTGCAGTACTAACCAGGCGTCTAACAAACTAATACATCAGTGTTGCTTTTGGCACTAACTCGAAGCAGAAAGTGTTTCGTGGCTGCTGTGCTGACGTTTCATTCATGCTGATTTTTTTAAATTTTTTTTTATTTGTGCGGGTGAAATTCCTGACGCGAGAGTCGTCTGTTGTCTTTTCATCACCTTTTGCTGGTGAAGCTTGAGACGTTGCACTATCCTTCAAAAAAAAAAAAAAAATAATAATAATGTGTTTGCCTACGATCTTGCTTTTTCTGTCCAGTCATCAACAAGGAATGTACGGTGTGTGTTTTAGCCACATTATACACAGGAAAGGCCTTACATACTGTCACAGACAAAATAATACGGTTTGAAATTTTCTTTTTATACAGTACGTACAGTACGTGAATCTTGTGCTTGTTTGTACGCTCAAAGGCAGTGATTACCTACTGTATACTTTGCCTGTGGTCCAATCTCAATATGAGACCAATCAACGGTTAATGATCTTCAGGTAGTACTGTAGTACTGTTACTTTTTATGCACCACTTGTAAGGCCTACAATAACACTACCTCAGGTGGGCACTAGGGCCTGTGCAACACTTCTAATGAGGTTTTAAAAATCATCAATCAACAATCTTTAATCAAAAAAATATTGCCTCAAATAATATTTTAAACCTTTTTTTTAATTGGGCAGCTCTAAAAACCATCAGTATTTATGATAAACATCTGTATTTGTATGAAATATCAAATCTTACTGCATAAAAATACACAATGATAATGGACTCTGAAGTGTGAATTCCAATAATAAATTACTCATTATTATTCCATAAAAACTTTCTTTTTCTTATTTTTTTTATAATTACATCTTTGTTGATGTACAGCTGTGATAATGCTGAAAAACCGTAATCTTTTTTAATTTTTTTTCCGGCTATAACTTGTGTTGTACAGTCTTGTAAACTGATACCAGTAGATGGCAGTGTTTGCCCGTTTTCCTCTTTTTCTAACATTTACCCTTTTATTCGCTTGCGTACTGTACGTGGTTAGCCTTTTTATTTTAGCTTCTTTCATTCGAATTACACTTGTATAAGTCTTGTTTTGTTTTTGATAGTCGATAGTATCCCATTATATTTGTGTATTTAAGGGCTTCCAAATAAATAGGAGAAACTGTTTTAGAGTTTACAGGGACAAATGTCTTTGCTGCCAGTCCTTTATACAAACACGAGGCAATCTGGAGAGAAATTAGCCAAAGGATAAACGCAGTTTGGACTCAGATATTTTTAGATTAGACAAATTTACAGTGTGAGATGAAAGATGACATCATCATATGGATGTCCAACATGGCATGTGTGTATGGTGTCTCCTGTTCAGTGGACCAAAAAAACAGAAAAGCTACCTATCAATCAGCAAAAAGACAACAATCCAGTATTTTTTAACGGCTGGAAATCCCTCAGTGTCTCGATTCAGTTGAACTGTTGTTTTTATTAAAATAAAAATGTAAATTTCTATCTATGACTGTGTGCTTATTTTACATTAATTATAAAAACACATTTGGTAAATTAAAATTAATTTTATTCAGAGGTGCCGCTGATTTACAAAAGTTTAAATATAAAATAAAAACATGGTGAAACAGAAAATTTAAACAGTTCTAGGCGGCTGCGGGGTGTGTGATCCTTCAGCACATAATCACAGTCTCTGTCATCCACTTCACCAGAAATCATCATCACCATCTTCATACTTGTGCGAATATGCAGCAATGCTGGGAAAAAATAAAAACAAAACTCAAGTTGATCAAAGGTCTTAGGAGAGAGGGAAAAAAACAAAACGAAACAAAATGAAAGTAGTCAAACACAATTTGTTTGGGGTTGACATTTAAACTACATAATTCCAACGCAAACAACAACGTTATCAAGAAGAGATGAGGAACCGTAGAAGAAATGAAGGGCTTTGAGAAACAGGATTATCTCAGCTCACGTACTGTACACCCCGGAGGGCGGCTGAACTTTCTCTGCCCTTCTGGAGTCTGCACTAAATACGTACGGTTTGTGTTCATTCAAATATGTTTAATGTTGAAAATGTACCTGTCTTCTTTTTCATCGGACATAGTCTTGTCTTCTGGGCTTGTATGTCCCATTTCTTCTCTTTCAGGGCTCTGGAACAAAATCCAAAAAAGATTAATTTAGACACAGACTTTTTTCCTGAAGGCGTCTTTAGCAGTGGTGTTTTAAACAGCGTGTGAAATCGCACTTTTGCATGCTGCTTCTCCCGGGCCTCCAGCACCATCTTCATGTACTTTTCCAAAGGGTTTTCTCCCTTAGTCTCCTCCAGGTCTACTTCAGGATCTTCTTTCTTGGTTGCAGTCCCCTCCTCTTCCTCTTTTCCTTCCTCATGCCTCATTTTCACTTCTTTTAAAAGCTTGTAATCAAATAAAGCTCGTTAGTACAGGACTCATTTAACGTACTTGAACGTCGGACGAATGAATGGCACATAGAACCAATACCTCCTCCTTCTCCAGCCTTTCAAGTTCTTGGAGCTCCCGTTCTTTGGCTTCCTCCAGCTCTCTTTGTCTGCGTTCCTGCCTTTCTTTCCGCTCTCTTTCCCAGCTCTGCTCCTCAGCCTCTTCATCTTCATCCCTCACAGATTCACCGGTGGTTTCTGGAACATCTTCAGTGCATATTATGACTACAATGTTACTTGTTCCTGATCCCAATGCAGTCAACAGAACTGTCTTCATTTTAGTTTAGTTTTTGTAAAAGAAATATCAAAATGATTTTAGTCGACTAAAATGCAATTTGTTGTTGACAAGAGGCTGCTGCAACTTTGCTGATTGGACCATGTCCCTGCCAGTGTTTTTGTCTTTGCCGGCTCTCCGTCATCATCATCTAATTCACCAGTAGTTTTTGTCTCAAAAAAGTCTTAAATTAACACTGATGTTGACTGACTGTTGGTTAAATCTGTTGTCATTTGGTGGAAAATGTAATGACGCTCCTGGTAATCAGTGTGAAAAATACAAGTCGTTTCATCTGATTACAGTAAACGCTTGCCAAACTTGTCATTTGAGGTCATTTCGGGGGGGAGGAGAGGGGCTAACCACTCACCCGCCTGATCTTCTGAAACTGCAAGGTCTTCTGGGAGGTCTTGTGGGCGGGGGACATCGGGTCCATCAGGGGCCCCCGCAGTGAGAGGGACGGCAGTGTCCAGGAGAAGCTCTGGAATGTGGCTGGGTTCTGGAAGGGAGACATTTACAAAGAGATCTTTTATGATGCCCCATAATGCAACAGGGACAGAGGACCAGCACAGAATACATAATCAGCTGCCCTTCATTTTCACCATTGTGCCGAGCCACTGAATGGACACTTTAGAGGTCGGTCGCACACTCATTAAAAAGCAAGCTTCCACAGAATCCCAAACCTCCCGACCGGATATACAGCATCTTGTTACAAAGAATTGATTCTAATTAATTACCAAGACAGTTGGGGGAAAAAAAAGAATTAAATCTTGTTATTGGAATATAATTTTATACTAAGTACAGGATTAAATTACCTGACAGAATCCCAGTGAGATCATCCAAACTGATTTTCTCAGGCTGAGGTGAAGACTCAGAGCTGGTGATGACTGTTTGCACCTTTGGTGGGCTGAAAATAAAAAAAGAGAGAAGAATACGGACATTGTTAGTCACTAACTGCAGGTGAGAACAAAAATGTACGTAAATGGTAAACTGTTGGATGTTACCTGGACTGGTTTCGTGTTGTGCTTTTAAGCTGAGGACTGAGAGGTGGACTAAACTCGGGGGAAAAGTCACCTAAGGTCACCACCGCATCCTTCTGTGGGTCATGAGTGCGATCTGGGAAAATCACTGGAGACACACGTGACTCTAGTGGGAGAGAAGTGTATTACTATTAATGAATGACAAAAATGTGTCTCTAAAAACTCTGAACTTTTTTTCAAACCCACCTTCAGTGATATCTTTGTGAGGTTCTCGTCTGGAGTTAAAGTTCGATGAAGAGGACAGAGGTCTAGATGGAGACGAACTCTGGTCCTGACCGTGTCCGTCTCTTAGGGGAACAGGGTCAGTCCATGAATGGAGACCATGCTGAGTGAAACCTGTGGACTTTGGAGGATCTAGATTGTCTAAGAACGTCACCCGTGGCTCTGCAGGTGTGAAAGTGCTCCTAGTCTTATAAGAAAACGACAATGAAGTTTGTGCATTTTGAGGGGAGGGCAATTTGTGTGTCATTTTTGTGTTGTGGGGCAAATGAGCCTGAGAACGATGAGATGTTTGTTTCCTGAGAAGAGACTTGAGCGGCAGAGAGGGCCGTGGTGACAGAGATCTGGGGGAGAGTGTGTGTGAGATGGTAGGGTTTGCTGCCCTCTGTTGGTAGTTCCTGTAGGCTTCCTCCAGAGTCTCAGCCTCTTTCTGCAGCTCCTGGAAACGGGCCATGGCCTCAGCCACCAGGTCATTGTCAGAGCCTGGAGACTCACACCAAGGGTCCTTGTGTCCTCGCCATGCCCCGTCTGGTTTATAAATATCATCACAACCCACACTGGAGCTCAGCAGAGCTTTGTCCACATAGATATCAGGTGGAACCAGCTTGCCAGCAGTGAACTCGAGCACTGAGCGATCGACAAGCGAGGGCTTGGGATTACGCAGCACTTCGTTCTCGAGAGCTGACAGGTTTTGAAGGACGACATAAAAGAAAAGGGAAACAGAAAGGAATAGGACAGCAAACAAAAGAAGAGTTGAGAACTAATAGAGAAAAAAACCAACCACCATAAAAGAACATGGAGTGTCTAATTTCTAACAAGAATTAACATGCATTTAAAAAAAACAAGTTCTAATTCACTTCAACAATATGGCTTTCTTTTTGTTTAAATCAATAATTCTTTGATGATAACAGAACAGGGCTAGAATCAATGTTGTTTAATTCTTGAATGTTTCAAGTGCAAAACAATAACCAATTACTATTGAATATACTAGAGCTAGCAATGCTTTGCTTGTGTCAATTTAGCAGTCTGATGTTTTTTTTCTAAGGGTGTTCTTCTACGATCTTGTCTTGCATAAAATGTAATTTCAATTCCTTCATTTTATCAGTTTCTTCTTGTAACATGAATTAGTAAAGAAAGTTTCTTCTTGTAACATGAATTAGTAATAAGATATTAGATAGATATAGAGATATTATGGTGATTATAGCTACTGAAAAACTGTATCCTAGATTTCAGAAATGTAATGATCTGTTGAAACCCCTAGGATCCCCTCAAACAGTTGTGTTTGATTAGAAGACGATTCATGTTGCATTACACCAGTCATGATATTCTGAGCATGTTCAGTGGGTTGCTACGTCTTCATTCAATTACTGCGACTTGATGTCTTTCAAATATTTTCAATCCATGACTGATTAAAAAAGAAAGCCGTTTCTGGAAAGAAGAGCTGAAGAACAGATGGTACTAACTTCTACACACACAGGTTGAAATCACATCACACACATGCATGTTCTGTTTACAAAGATACCTTGTTGTGTTTGGAAAAGCTGGAGCTTGAGATCTTCAACACGATTGGTTGTCCAGTGTAATTTCTCCTCGCACTCAATCAGCTGAGCCTTTAGCTGAGCACAGCGCTCCATCTGCGGACACCCACGGGTCATAGGTTAAGGGTCATCGCATGAACTGTTCTCTCACATTTGACCGTAGTTTTGAGAATAAATGTCATGGTAAAAAGCAGAACACGGTTTCCCACACTGGCTGAAAGAGTGAGTCTTTGATGTCACTGACCTCAACCTGGAGCTGAGTCTGCAGCACCTGTTTCTGCTTGTCAAACTCTTCCTCTTTAAGTCTGCAAGCACTCTGCAAACTCCGGAGCTCCACCTGCAAGGCCAGATGTTCACTGGATGGTTTGTCCAGATCTGCAAGAGACGGTATCAGAGTCAAAACCCAGGAGAATTGGTTTCTTAAACTAAAAACGATCCTGTTTCTAAATACTCGTCTAATTCAGTGAAGAAAAAAGGCCGTAATAACGTCAAGGAATAGATTCAAGATGCCCTTTTTATTTGCTGCGTATAAATTCTGGCAGCACGAATCTTCAGGACACAGTTGTTTGCTCCACATGGCTTTTCTCACAAAGATCACCAACTTCAATCTTCAAAAATAAGTGCTTTATATTCTTTTGGGAGAACATTTTATGCTGACACGCAGGCTGTTTAGTTTAGTGGAAATCACAGTGATATTTATCTTATGGTTATTAACCAGGCAGGAAAACGACTCAAATGTTGGCAAAAACGGTTCCTCCTGTTAGATATTAGATGGAACTGCAGCTGTTCCTCACCAGTGTGGAGGAGTCTGTTCTCCTCCTGGGCTTCGTCAAGCTGTTTCCTCAGCAGCCGCGTCTGTCCGTGCAGCTCTGCTCTCTCCTTCTTTAAGGTGGTGTAGTCACTCATCGTCTCCAGTCTCTCTTGAAGCAGCTCCTTCTGCTGAGTCAGCATCGGAATCTGCTGCCGGGCTATGTCCAGCTCAAGCTAGCAAACAAAAAGTGAGTGATTAATGGGTAGAAAAGGTTAACAACGTTAAAACCTGAGGACTGAAACCTGGGCGAAGATTCTCACCTGCAGGCGTCTCAGCTCTGACACGACTCTACTGTGCTCCTCTAGTCTGGAATCAATTGCAGCAGTTTCTCTTTGGATGCGAGCTGTTTCCACTGAGACAGAGGGGAAAAAAAAGTTGAAAGATTATTCTGGACATTAAAAGTCCCTCAGGACCAGTGTCATCTCACCTTTGTTCCTGGTCTCGCTTTCAGTGAGTGCTTCTGTTCTTCTTATGTATTCTTCTTTAAGTTCAAGCTGATACCTACATTTCACAAAATAAATAAAACAAGTATTCAAAGTTGAAAATTAACCGTAGCTAAACATAAAAATTAACATATTTACATTTGGATGAATAATGTGCAGTCTACAATATTTCAAAATAAACATAAAAAATCTGTGTTATTTTTATTTCATTGTTTTTAATGTCCGGCCTCCAAGTTGTCTGTCCAAACATAGTTGGTGACCTCTGCCCTACAATCAGTTTGTTTTTCATTTGGGCAAAATAGGCCAACAAAAATCTCTGATTTGAAGACAAATCTTTATATAAATAAATACCTGGACAGGTCGTTCTTCAGCCTTTGGTCGTATGTTTCCTCCATGGTCCTTATGGACAACTCTCTCCTCCGCAGCAGCTCCTCTGTGGTCTTCACCTTCTCCTCCTGAACCTGACACGTTCTATTTTAGCACACGGGGCTTTAGTCTCATTGCAAAAACACGGCGATGTTTGACTCAGGTAACTGATTTCAGAATAATCACTCTCACTTTTCCAAAGACTCCTCTTTCATCCTTAGCTCGTTCTCCCTGTTTCGCAACTTTTCAATTTCTCTCAGCACAGACTGTCTCTGAGTGTACAAGTTTTTTTCTTCAATCTGAAACAAAATAAAATCAAAGGGCTAGAATAAGAGATTTCCAAATAAGTCATCTTTACAGAGACGTTGGCATCTACTGTACCTGCATCTGCTTTTCCAGCCGTTCGATGGCATTTTTCTCTCGATCCATCAGTGCCTTCGCCTTCAGCTCATATGTTCTCTCCAGCTCTTTTTTCAAGTCATCAAATTCTTTTTGGAATTTGCATTTTTCCTCCATCCTCACTTTGGCGATCTCCACTTCTTTAAAGTGTTGCAACTATGAAAAATTGAAATCAAACACACAAACGATTGTGTCTGTATTTTTACAACGTACTTTACTGCAGAAATGGATATACAATTGTTTTTAAGATATATTTATTGTTCACAATGGTATTTACTTTGGACTATAAACGTACTTTTGTGTTCATTTCTGTCTCCAGCTGCGCTCCCATTTCTGTTCTGTAGGTGGCCAGCTGTGTTTGGAATGAAAACCATCTGTCTCCGGTGTGACTAAAGCTCTCATATTCCTTATCAATCATTTTCATCTTCTCAACTGTTCAGGACGGGGCACAAGATTGTTTTAATTAATGCAACAAAAGACAGTCTGAAGAAAACACAAGTTGTCACGTTGACTGACCTAGAGATTCTCCAAAGGTTGCTATGCCTGTCTGTGTGTCTGCATCATGGCACATAGCTTGTGTATTATGACGTGCAAGTTGTGATAGAAGGCTCAAAAGAAATCCTGAAGAAGAAAAAAAAAAAAAAATCACTGACAAGAGTAGGTGGAAGAGACTGTTTTGTTAGAGAGAACAAAATATAAAACAAACCTTTATCCTTGTTATCTGGATTTTCTAACTGTTGAACCAGAAAAAAGTCAACATTTATTTTTATCATTTTTTTAATGCTTAAAACATTTCAACATAACAAATTTAATTTTCATTTACCAGGGATTTGTAGAGGGGTGAATCAGGACTTATTTTAAGCAAATGAAGAAGATCTTCTTTTCTGAAAACCTGACAAAAAGGTAAAAATAAATACGTATATATGCAGCTTCATTTTACAAACTGTTATTTGTAAATACGGGTCATACTCACTTTGTCTTTGCCCAGTCCACTCTCAGGGTAGAACACAGAGAGAGTGTACTCATACCCTGACGTGCACAGATGATCGGCTACTATGCTGTTAGAGACAGAGACCATCAAAGGTTCTGCTTTTGCAGATACTGGCTTTGGAACTGGTTCTCCTGCAGCCAATTGTGGCTGTTTTAACTCCTGGATGAGCTGATTCCTCAGCTGTGTCTGCGAGAAATGAAGCAAGAATGAAGGAGATCAGTGTCTCACTGAGCTCACTGCAGGCAAAACACAGCGTGGCGACTTACTTTTAGCGTATCAAGCACTCCTCTGTTTTTAAAAGTTTGATAGAGTCTCTTCCGGAGCTCATCTGGAGAAAGAGCGTCTTCCTTGGTCGCGTACATAACCGCAGAATGTGCAGGACTTCATACAAGGTAAACAAAAGGAGGAAGCCAAGCAACGTAAATACGAGCACAACAAACGCACAGAAAGGAACGTTTTTTAAAATTACCATACCTCCTGCATGTGTTATGATTCCACAGCTAATCCTAGTTGATACAACAGCGATTCCTTTAAAGAGACTAGTTAAGAAATACTACTTAAAAGCCTCTGAGGAGGTGTGTTTCTGACATTTAAAATCCAACGGAAATTCGCTATTGCCAGTGTTATGCGCAATCTGGTTCTCTCCCGATCTGTCGTCCTTGCGCGTCCACACGCTTTGTTCCTTTTATTTTGACACTAACTCTTTCCTTAATGTAAAACCACAATGTGTTTTATTTTTCCTCTCACACCGTTTAAAACACTCGGTGGCTAATAACAACTGACATGCATGCCATGTTTTTAAACCATTCAGCTGTAATATGACTCTGATTAAATAAAACTTTGCTTTTTTGCTTCTTTACCGCAATTGGAATCCATTTAGTTGCCCAACAGTCTCACTTCATTATAACACTTACATGTGTTGTCTATTTTGTACATTTTTCTATTATTATTATTATTTATTCCATTGTGCATCATGTTATAACAACCTATTTACTCGTGTGCCTTCACGCAAACAGGGCGCGCGCAGTCCAAAATGAAGGCGTGAGTCAGGGAACCAGACGACACAATACACCAGCCAGACGAACAGTGATGACGCAATAATAAACGCAAAACAAAATAATAAAAAGAAATATAAATCATTACCATTAAACAATATTTATACTCGCAAAAGATAAATATCTGATAATAGTAATAGTTTTGTTTTTTTACAACCTGCCAGATAAACGTATTCGATTCGAGACTTATTTCGTCATAATTTCGCGACTGCTCCTGCTGCCGTCCAGGAACTGAATTTGACAGGTAAACAAATGTCCATTTTAAACGTAACTGTTTTATCTGCTATGACAATTGGCTCCTGGTAATATTTACAATACATATATAATGTGTTATCTTTATTGAAATACAAAAATATTGGATTTAAAGGAAATGTACCTTGCGAATGCTACTGCTAACGTTTGTTTGCTAACTAATATCATCAGTCAAAACAGTGGGGGTTTTGGTGGATTTCTAAAACGGCTTTTATTTAATTTGTTTTATTTCCACATTGCTGCATCAAGAAGAAGGAGAAACCATGTCTGGAAGTTTTTATTTTGTTATGGTTGGTCATCATGACAACCCCGTGTTTGAGATGGAATTTCTTCCTGCGGGGAAACCAGAATCAAAGGTAAAGAAAAAATCTGTTCGTGTAACTAACGTTCCTAATATATGTTTTATCTTGTCTGTGGTATTCATTAACGATAAAGTTTACCATAACTCAAAATAATGAGGAACAAATAAAGCATGTGATGAATAATGACTACACTGAATGTCAGTTTTATTCGAACAAATGTTTCCCTTACGACCACCAGGACGACCATCGTCATTTGAACCAGTTCATAGCACATGCAGCTCTAGATTTGGTGGATGAAAACATGTGGCTGTCCAACAACATGTACTTGAAAACTGTGGACAAGTTCAACGAGTGGTTTGTTTCTGCCTTTGTCACTGCAGGACATATCCTTTTTCTCTTGGTTACTATAACTACTATTTAATCTTTTGTTCAATTTTGTTTTCTGTTTGATTTATTCTTGTATATCTAATACTATTATGTATTTGGGCTTATACTCCTTAATTGTTTGCTGTACATATAAGATTCATCATGCTACATGATGTAAGACAAGAAGACGGAATCAAAAACTTCTTCAATGATGTGTATGATTTGTACATTAAGGTAAGCCACCTTAGTGTTTTAATCACATGGTTAAAGGTTTGTTTAAAATCTAAATGAAATACTTTGTGTTCCAGTTTGCAATGAATCCGTTCTATGAAATCAACACACCAATCCGCTCGACAGCTTTTGAGAGGAAAGTCCAGTTTCTTGGAAAGAAACATCTCCTGAGTTAATTATTTTTAATATGTCTAAATCATGCCCATGTTGTACATATACAGTATCATACACTTCATGTCTGTTTTGCCCATGTTTGTCAAATATAGTACAAATGATTTTCTGATCAAGTTTTTTCCCTCAGCACACTGCACCATTTAAAGTTCATTATTTTATTTATCTCATGCAAGTTCTCTCATCAATATTTGCCTTAAATGGCCCAAAAACTTTAATTTACACACAAAATTCTTGATCAGTAATACACATGACAAAATCCCAGTCCAAGAAGGCTTCAGTTAATTTTATTACCTTTATTACATTTTCCTTTAGGGTCATTGGATTGAAAAAAAAAAGGTTATTTTTAGGCAACAAATGCTTAAAGTGAGAACTCATAAGGTAGTTTAATTCATGTTTAGTTTAGCAGAAGTACATTTGAAAGTTTCAATGAAATCCAGTTGGTCAGAAGTATTCCTATTTCTTAAGTCATTTATGTTTGTTTTTGTTTTTTTAATGATGAGGTTTTATTTTGAAAAAAAAAAAAAAATATCCATAATCCTGCAAGAATCATTATTTAGAACAATATTTGAAAGAATAATTATAACAATTATTTAAAAAAAAAACGTAATCATGACTTCTTTTACTTACACTTCTCTGAAGAAAACACTAATCCTAATTAATGACTTGAGGTAAAAACAGCTCCAAAATAAGTGTCCAGAAGAGTTTATGAACACGTCATGCAACTTTAATTTATCTTAACTTGTTTTTAGTCTTCTGTTAAGGGATCTTGTCCCTCACTATATCAGCACATAGCCAATAATCTATTTACTATGTAGAATGTGCAAACAAGATGTAAAGGTGCAATACTTACAACAAACCTTAATTTGTTAGTTACAATATAGTGCTTCAGCAACTTTAAATTCTTCAGAATGAAAGTTATTTGTCACAAATTACTTTAAAGTAGTATTAATTTCTAAATAGAAATGTTAAGATTATGATGTTTTTGCACTGTCACAATCTGGAATGAAGTGTAAAGATCCTGAGTGTACTGCTAAAGTACACTTTTCCACATACATATGCAAGCAAGTCATTATTTAGTTTTGCAAAAAGAATAGCACATTAAGTCAACAGAAACTATTACGTTCACTCCCCTAATGATTTTAAGCCTTCACACAGACTTAGTTCAGCTCAACATATCCTTTTATATAATCTGTGGCAGTTTAGGCAATTCATTTCATATTTACTTCTACTTGACTTTAGGATGTAAAGTAGTGCTTCATCTCTGAATTCATCGAGCCAACGTGGTGTTAACATAATCAAACCTTTAACAGTAAAAGAAATCGGTAAAAGAAATCAAAAAAAGGCAGTAGCTCATTTTTTGTTTAAATATTATGTTACTACAGCATTGTGCACCTACAGCCTCGTTGCACAACAGGCATAACAGAAAAATGTGAAACGGTGAGTACTCCTGGGTGTTATGAACAGCACATGGCAGCAGAGCGAGGCTTTCTGTGGAGCTTGATTGTGTCTGTGGGGATGAGGTGTTCAGTTCTTTCATCCAATGCCAACACTCTACGCACTGCTTCCTGAAAGGCCACTGCTACATTAGTGGCATCCTTGGCACTGGTCTCATAATAGGGGTAGTCACCGTTGTCCTTGCACCACTGCTGAGCCTCCTCAGTTGTCACCTGTCGCTCCGTCACATCCAATTTGTTGCCCAACACAACAAACGGGAACTTCTCCGGTTCTTTGACATCGGCATAGTAGATGAACTCCTTCTTCCAGTTCCCTAGGTTGAGAAAACTCTGGTTGTCGTCGACACTGAAAGTCAGCAGGCAGCAGTCGGAGCCACGGTAGAAAGGAGTCCTCAGACTGCGGAAGCGCTCCTGACCGGCGGTGTCCCAGATCTGCAGGGTCACCTGGTGTCCATCCACTTCCAGGTCCTTGTTGAGGAACTCCACGCCAATGGTGTGGAACAAGTGAGCATCGAACTTGTTGGTGACATAACGATTCATGAGGGAGCTCTTGCCTACACCTCCATCACCGAGTAGGATAACTTTGAGCAGGGATGTCTTGGAGGTCATGGTTATTCACTTTGGGTCTGAGAACTTTGGAAACACGTTGCCTACAGGGAGAGATCACAGTGAGAAAGATGCTCCCATCAATGCCATACTGGTATATGTCACCATGTTTAGGAAACCGTTTTCTTTAACTGGTAAGAATGCATGAGCACTGGTGGATCGCTGCCTCACCTCTGATTGATTTGGTCTCTTCCACTGGTCCAGATCATGTGCTGTAAAACCCAGGTCTTTGGTCACATGCTCATTTACTTAATGTTGATGTGAACTGCCATGAAAGTTAAGTTCACCCAACTGAAACAAGGCATAACAACAACAAGGTTTCTGATTAACAGAGTACAGTAAACGAGTAACAGCTGAGAACGACTAAAGAAAACATTATTTTTAGTAATCTGCATTTAGACATTAGCGTAAATTAAAACGTACTTCTGCAAGACATAAAAATAATAAATGACACGTTTTATTTAATATATAAATACTACCTGTTAGTGAGGTGTTAGCTGTGCTAAAACAAGTGAAACAGCTGGACTACATCAATAATTACACCATCAGTTAGCTTCGGTTTACCCACAGTAATTATTGGTGAAAACCTACCTTGCAGTCAGGGCCCAACGCAATCGGCGAGAAAGAAAGACGGAAAAACAGGAACAATATTAAAACATATGTTTGACAGCTAGCAGCTTTAGCT